CACACACACACACACACACACACACACACACACACACACACACGTTTAATGCCTTCATTCTGAGCAGGAAACTCAGTGAGGTCACAAAGGCAGCAAGGGTTCAAGTAAAAAGGAAGCAAGTGAGGAGTCCAACTGTGTGCTTCACCATCATCAGAATCCAAACCATGAGAGCAAGATAAAGGACAGAACAGCCTTAGAGAGAGCTCAACAGCAACAATATCCTCACATCACTGAGGATGTGAATGCCCTCCATCGCTATTAGCATCGTGTGTGTGTGTCTGTGTGTGTACCTTTGCCACAGGTAGTGATGTGCTGCTGTCCTCTCTCCTCTCTGGTGCCTCCACCTACACAAACATGCAGATCAGAGTGAAGTCAGGTCCATCCACAGAGGAAGACTACAGAAGAGTGTGGAGGCATGAAGGTTCACCACAACTGCACGGTGCTCTCCCAGCAGGAGGCCGAGGTAAGATTTCAGCAGGTAAGAGTCCACTGCAGTTCATTCATGTGATGCAGACAGAAGGGGTTCTTTTCATTTACTCTCGCAGCTCTGACATCGCTGCAGAATCACTTTCCCAGTGATGGGATTATATTTGCTGGTGGATGAACAAACACTGGAAGCGGTTGATTTATGCGTTCAGGCATAAAACACCTTCAAACCTCGGACCTACCAGTCTGAACCAAAAACCAGGAAATCTGGGTCCATGTTAGTCACCTGCTCAGCCAGGTGAGCAGGTGACTAACCTGCCAAAGGTTGGCGTAGGGGTCAGGGTTACGTTTCGGACTTACCACCAGAGGCTTCCGGATTCCCAGGCGGACCGTACCAGGCGGAGCACACTTGAGAACCTCGACAGCCTCGGCCAGACTGAGCATGTCCAGCTGGGTGCGGTTGACTGACACAAGCTGGTCTCCGGGGAGCAAACCGCCGTGGAGCTCCGCTGAACCGCCAGGTACCAGAGACCGGATCACCATCACACATCTGCCGGGGTCCAGCGGGTCCTGCGAGCCAGAGAGGAAAAACGTTAAAGCAGAACACCAAATTTTACCTCCTGTAGTCTGATGCTACAGTTAGGACTGGGCGGATGCCATTGCCCCCAACGAGGGTCGATCTGTCGTTTTAGTCACATAAAATGGAAATATTAGCCCCTCCCCTGGAATAATTACACTTGAAATGACCTTGTGTTTGAGTGATCTACAACTGCTCGCCAATTTTACAAAAAAGGTTTAAAAACAACACAATTTCATCTTTTTTAACATTAACAATAAAAAGATACTTTCCTTAGTGGTCCACGCCCCATAGTTTGAGAACCACTGTGAATGAACAGGTGGGGATAACATTAATAATTAGTAATAATAATCATCAATGATCAGGAGGAGCTGCCTGAAACACGTGCAGATGGACCAACAAACTTTCGTCCAGCAGAAACGCCAACTTTAAGGAACCTGGGAGATCGGAACATTGTGGTTTGGAAAGTTGAAAACATCCATCTTTCCAAAACAAAAACAGCACAAAGACAGAAATGCTCAAATCTTCAAAGCTTCAAAAGAAAACCACAAAAGGTGGCGAGTCCACTCACCTCCTCCTCACCTCCTAAGACTACCCGACCTGTATGAGAACCTTCACGGACTCTTGTGTCTATGTTTGGTATACCGAGGCCATTAGAGCAGCTCCCAGTTTTAGTTTCAGCAAGTTTAAAACCAAGAGCCTCATCCACCGAGTCGGAAATCTTTAACCAACTCTCAGCCCAGCATGACCGACCCCAGATCAGCCGAGCTCATATTTCACACAGAGTCGAGGGAAGGGGGACAACGACCATTACAGATCATCCTGTCGGTTTCATCACTCTCACAGGGAAGAGCGAAGAAGACACACCGCCATCATCATCACCACCACCACAGAGTACAGGCAGGGGGAGCCAGAGACCAGAGAAATAACAGCAAACACATTCACACAAACACACAGACGTGAAGAAGACGAGGCTAAGGACGTTCAGTGACTGATGAAGACGAGACCACAAGAGTCTGCGGACGTTAAAACCAGACTGAACTCATTCAAAGACCCCGGGGAGCAGTTCGTCTTCTCAGAACAGCTGACCTGCTTCCTGTTTCACACCAATACAGAAAGAAAAAGCAAAGACGAGGCAAAGAAAATAACCAAGAAATTAAAACTCAGGGGGGGGGGGGTCAAAAGTTTAAGAGGTAAGAGGTAGGGTACACATAGACACGTCGGCAGTCTGTCCAAGCACGCAGACGTGACAAATATCTGCCACGACGCTGAAAATCTGTTTTTCTTTCTCTGAATCTAAATTTCATGTAAAATATCCATCTATCCATCCATCCCTGTTTGGGCCGAGTGTCAGCACTCTGAGAGAATCAATCTGAGCATTTGGTTTGTGATGGTCGCTGCTGAGGGCAGCAGTAAATAAGCAGCTTTTATCCTGCTCATGTTATTAGTCATGTGCTGTAAAAAAAAAAAAAAAGATTTTCCTTTTCTAAAATTAACCCTCGAACCTTAAACGAAGCCGCATGCTCTACAGCTATCTAAGAAATTAAGGCTTTGCTGCATGTTTACTGACATGACTCTGAGGTTATTGTTGTCTTTAAATTCTTTCATCTTATAATCAGATAAAAACTTCTGGTGCACAGTGTGCTGTACATCTCCACAGGTCAGCCAGGAAGAAATAAGAAGCACGTTATACATTTTCTTTATTTGACCTGTAATTTGTCTCAGGACACTCATTTTCTCCTCAGCCTCGTAAACACTTCACCCACAGCGAGTGACGCGACTAATTAATACCATCGTTGCCCATCTGAAGTGTGACAGAACATGTGGTCTGCAGGCGATTACCTCCTCCTCCGCCGGCGTTGCTCTCTGCTCAGAGTTTTAACCAGAGTGACTATAAGGCCGGCCAAACCCACGCTCCCCCCAGAGCCTCCCGCGCCACTCTCAAACCCTCTCCTGGTGCGAGCGGATGTGCGCGGCGTGAATTCCCCGGCGTCGAACCCCGGGCATCGCCCGCGCTGCAGTACGAGCTGCCGTGCCAAGTTTGAGGCTGCCAGAACAAAGCCAGCTATATTTTTAGACTGAACAACATGGCTACAGGTGGTGAGGAGTCAGAACTCACGTCCTCCACTCCTACAAGATCCTCCGGAAAAAGAAAGGCCGCCGCAGTCAAGAAGTGGAGGAATCAGAAAAACGTAGGAGGGGCTGGAAAAAAGAAATTAGAAGCGTTTCTGCCAGGAGTAGTGAAATGTTTCACACACAGAACAACGAGCAGGGTTTGGGTGTTTTTGGATATGTAGGTTGCAGGGCGTCTGCACAAAGTTAGACTTTTGAAGACCTTCGCGATGCCACAGAGAATCAAACTCGGGAGGTTTATTCACCGAAATAAACACGAGCCCAAATATTTTAGGAGCTCTCACTCAACTTTACATTTGTTGATTTAAAGAACATATTTCAGGACCTTTCAGCGCCTCTCATGTTTTATCATATTTCTGACTTTTAAGAACTTAATCGATACTTGCCCGAAACATTTGGACGCTCCACGTTCTCTTACTTTAACGTGGGCTTCGTTGGAAAACTGGCAGAAACCTGAACGCAGCTTTCGGCCACTCGCCCATCAGCGCTTCACGGGCATGTACAGACTCATCTTCTATCAGGCAGAAAAATTCATTTTAATTAGAAAATATTCATCTTTGGATTCTTCAAAACAAAACGCCCTTTTGGAAACTTGAGCGTGGCAACCTCAGAAATAAAAGAGAACACAGACGTGGAGTCATCTCACAGATCAGAAGAACCACGTCCTGCACAGACTATATGAGGTTATTACCCAAACAAAGATGGGTCTTGTCATGTTTAAGAGAACATGATGAGACCCATGTTCTGTCTTATATGTTAAGAATAATGACATTAGAAAGCTGTGTGAGCACTGCAGCTGTGAAAGTGTTTCTGTTCACTGGGCGAAAACACCGGGTCTGAGCACTTCACTGCCCTCCAGCTCGCGCTGCAGCGGTTTGTGTGTGAAGGCTAGAAGTGAAGTGGGACTGGCGCGAGCCGTCACAGCGCTTGTGCTGTGCTCTGGTGGGAGGAGCCTGAGGACTTAATGACAGCAGGAAGGGTGATTTTAAAACCTGTTATTAGAGGAAATTCGAACTCTGTCAGCTTGTTTTAAAGCTCGGGCGTGCCAAGTGCTTCCATACGTGTCTGGCTGCAAACAGGTGAGACTCGCTTTGAGATGATTTGTTTTTCTAAAAGCTGACAATAGAGCAAAGGCAGAGTTTGTCTTCGTGTGATGAACACTGTGGCGGCTTTGATTCTTCTCGTATCCTGTGACCACCAGTGCATCTGCGATCCGGCCGTGGCGCAAGGATAAAGAATCTTACCACCCTCACGCCGATGGTTTCGGACCCGAACTGAGCTCCTTCAGTCTTTGGAGGACACGTTCGTATTTGTGCCACGAAGCTGCTCACTCTGTTTCAGAGGAAACTATGAGCCAGAATCCAGACAGACAGCAGCTCTCCTCTTATTGCCTGCGGCCATCTTTCACTCAGCTCTGACAGGCGAGAGTCGGTAACAGGAAACAGTTTGGCAGGAACACTGGGCCGACGTGCCCTTGGGCGAGAGATACAGAGAGCGGAGAGGATAGAGAGGGTGAAGGTTTGTGAGGAAGTTGATTTGTTTTATTTTGTTAAATATGATGCAGGTCAGATTGACTCTAAGGCAGAAGCTTCGCTCTTACTGCCGATGATTTTAAAATCATATTAAAGTCAAACAGGAGAGAAACCGAAGTAACACGATGAGTCTGAGACTTCGTCATCAGGTCCTGAAAGCCCTGGCTGGACTCCGTCCTATGGACCTACAAGCTTTGTGACCCTGAGGAGAACCAGAGGCAGCCCAGAGCACAACGAGGACACGTAACAGAGATGTGATCAGGCATGAACAAAAGGACCTCTTAGGCCATCATTTTGCTTTTAAACCATCAGACTGTTTTACAGGCACGTCATTACAGTTTGTGCTCTAGAACAAATTCACTGGAGAAATCCTTGGTGATGCACAAAAACATTTTCCTCCACGACTTCACGCACTTTCACAATTTTGGGACCACATAGCATGCTCAGCAGCCTCCTGCTCAGCCTGTAGAGCTGCTGGAATCCAGACCAAATTCTAATCTCAGTTTTCCAACAGCGAAGCGGTTACGTTCATCGTTTTACAGCAAAGACAGTGTGGAAGTTTCACTCTGCACAAACGCTGCAGCAGGAATAACGGCAACGAAACGTTGCAAACATCTGCAGGACGAGGGCCAACAAGAGCCAGAAACACGAGCGGATCACACTGTGTAGCACACACACGCACGCGCGCACGCGCGCGCATGCGCACACACACACACACACCTCTCTCTCCTAGGCAGATCCTGTGTCTGCAGGCTGACATGATGTGGACCAACTGGGAGTTATGCTGGAGCTCGCTCCACCACCTCAGCTGGGTCTGACAGAGGAGGAGGAGGAGGGGGCTGAGGTCTTAGAGGTGAAGCTGCGCCTAAAGATAAAGCACTAAAGCAGGTTTGGAGAAGATAAAGACAGCAGACACACCAGAGTTTCCCAAATTTACTCCAGAGACAGCGATGAATCTAAAACCTCTGAGATGAGATTCACTTTAAAACATTTCAGCTTCGCTCCGTTTACACTGTCCTGTGAGGAGATGGGAAACACATGAGTACCAGTGGCACCTTCCTGTAAGACAGCTGTTTGTCTGGACTCTGAGCTGCCTGAGCTCTGGGGTTTTCCTTCCATCCTAGAATTTTTGGAGTGTCAAGGTACCCTTGTCCACCTGAGGCTCTGAGATTCCGCAGGTGTACCTCACCCGACCTGTCCGATCTCAGTCCAGCATGTGTCCAGATACTTCGGAGGTGTTATCAAAATTCCTTTAAATTGGTCACATTCCCCTTAAACAACGTTTTCAGTGGGACGTTGACATGGTTCACAGCCACAGAGCAAAATTAAAGATGGAAGCTGGTTCTGGACACCACTTTCAGAAATGCTAACGTTACCGCCGGCTTCACACAAACAGCTGCAGTCATCGACCTGCAGTCTACCAGTGCGACGTGAAACTACAAAACGAGCAGAGCAAAACGTGAGGAAATGCTAGCAGCTGGACGGCAGCAAAACCTGCCGTCCAGCTGAAGAAAGTCGGATGTGCACACAGACACCTGTTAGGTGAAACCTTTTCAGACTTTGGGAGGCCAGTCTGACGTGGTCTCCTGGGCCATACGATCGGCCGTCAGAGCTGCCACTCTTACCTGGTAGTCAAGGATGCTGAAGCCGAGGCCTTTGTCTCGCTCTTTCTGCAGCTCCAACACCTGAATGTCCGAAGACCACAGAGCAAGCTCTCCGTCCTCATCCTCCTCATCTCCCTCCTCTTCTTCTTCCTCATCCTGGGTGTAGTGGGTCTGCTCCTCCCTCAGCACCACCTCTACAGGTGAGACCTGCTCCTGACACAGAAACATTTAAACGGCAGTTAAAGCGCGCTCAGCGAGGACATGTTTCAGGACGTTCACACGTAATAAGTGATAAATGGGCTGGTCCTTAAAGACCTCCAACTCTACCTGAGCACTCAAAGTGCTTTGTGCAACACTCTCCATTCACCAGTTCACATTCACACACATTGATGCGCCCAAGGACACGTTAGACCTGCTCTGCCTCCTGACCCATAAACCTGAGCAGGAAAGGTCGACGAGCCCGGCACTGAGGAGGTCTGTCCTAAAGTAAACTTCATATTCTCCAAGCGATCGCTCTGCGTGATCAGCAGTTTAGGAAGCTAACGCTGCTAGCTCAGGTATTAGAGGCCGGGTGCTTGATTGTTTCATTGAACACTTCCTGTCATGGAGAAGTGTTTTAAGAAATGTTCAGGAATGAACTCAGGATGGAGTTGTCTGGGTTTAATTCATACTCTACAGAGTGACAGCAGGAAGTGAACCTGTCCATATAACAAATACAGTGCACCAGGGTTCGTGATCCTTCTTGCAACCCTCCTCTTCAGGAGGTAGAGAAGGAAGGTTGGCAATTCGATCCCTGGCTGCTTTGCTCTGCATGCCAGACATCCTTGGACAAGATATCAACTCCAAGTTGCTCTCTGATGCATCCATCACTTAAGCACTTAAGCATATAAAAAGTGTGTGTGTGTGCGTGGACGGTAGAATGAAGCATTTTGAGTGCTCAAGCAGAGTAGAAAAGCGCTGTAAGAACAACCAGTCCATTTATCATTTGTGTGTGTGCGTGTGTGTGGTTGCAGAGGTTACCTGTCTGCCACTGCTATCATCTCTCAGGAGCGTCTGACTGCAGAGCATCGATGACAGCTTCATCTCGATCTGACAGACAGCACACGGTTATTCTCAGAGCTCCAGCAGCATTTCAAACCAAACAATGATGCTTTTCATCTTTACGATCATAACTGCTTATAAAGTAGTTGTTACTACAAATGCCATCCCACGGCACCATAAACAGCCCTGTTCTCACCTCCTCCACACCCCGCTGCGACTGTCTGGCCGGTCCTGCTTTCGGTTCTAGTCGTAGTACTGGTTCTGGTTCAGATTCGGATTCTGGTTCCAGGTCGGCGATCGGGTGTCGGCAGCAGACCAGAGTGAACGGAGGAGGCACCTCTTTGAGGAACGACACCACTTCTCTGCGAGACTTTCCGTACAGCTGAACGTCGTTCACCTACACAAGAACAAAACATGATTACATCTCACAGTCACACAGCTGCAGTTTGTCTGATGTCCAGCAGAGGGCGACTTTGATGGTACGGTCTGTGAGACAATGAAGCTGACGATGACTTTCAGCTTGTAATCTGACCTCCAGCAGCTCGTCTTCGGGTCTCAGGACTCCGTGTCTGTCGACGGGGCCTCCGGGCGCCACCGACGAGATGTAGTGATGACCATCAAAGGAGTCCAACTCGACCCCAAGACGCAGAGTGTGGACAGGCAGCAGCTTCGATGACTTCTGCAGCTCTTCATCGTCTTCGATCACGGGATCCAAATTCACCATCTGATAAAACACACAC